ATAAAGAAAACCCCAAGGAACCAGAAACAACTAAAGAAAAATGGGAAATCATAAGGATCAAAGCCCCCTTTCTTGAAGAAATTCGAGAGAAGATTTGGAGACAACCAGAAAAGATCAAGCAGTTCAATGAATTAAAAATGCGAGGAATCAATCACTTGAAAGGAAAATACAGAGGAGGAAATCTGTATATGCTAGGACATAGATCCACAGGGCAACGTCGACAGATTCTAAATCACAATCTTGCAACAAGTGGATGTCCCATATTGAAAATCTTGGAAATCACAGAAGATTACCTAGAGACAATCAAGTTCATGATTTTTCGTCTACAACGTACTGATGGCTCAGAGTTCACCTGTCAAGAGAATGACTTCTTTCTACTGCACATGGATGACATTTATCAAATGTTCATGAGGTGCAGGGAGCTTCCAGTTCACAAAGACAGACTCGCTAAAGAAGGCTTCGAGGCGATAAAAAGATTCATGACAAGACAAGTTCGGTTCTACGCCTCTCATGACCTCCAGATGACCGTAGAGCACAACTATTCAAAGGTGAATCTTACTAGACCGGACTTAAGTAGACCTGGCCTTGAATCCTTTGAAGCATATCATATCTTTGACAATCCAGTATCAGTCATCTATCTGAATCATAACAAAGAAAAACGTCTAATGTTCGTGGATGAAATTAACAAGTATTGTGACGGAACGTTGAAGATCATCCAGGAGCAGCTCCGATCAAAGAAACAAGAACTTGGACAGAAATCGACTGAAGCCACTGAAGGAGACCAGAAGGAACTGCACAGAATAGACAGAATTCTACAAGCTATCCAGAAACAACTTGATAGAAGAAACTCACTCAGAAACTATGAGCACGCACTTAATCTCAGAAAGAACTATTACAAAGCTCAGAAGTGAAGAAACCCAGCAAGACGGCACTTGACCACAAAGGGGGAGATTGTTAGAACTTTTATTGTGGGTCAAGTTTGTCTGTAATGTCTTGTTTAAATAAAGTAGACTAGTTATACCATTTATGGTATTAGATTAGTTTTTATTATGTAGCAAATAAGGTAAAGGGAATAAGGCCCAAAAAGGCCTTGGCCCAACTTCCAAGGTTTACCTAAATCGGTAACCTGTACAGCGCCTATAAATACGCGCCTTGTGTACAGGTACCGATATCGATCAATACACATTAGCCTTACGCTGCCAAATTTACTTCTCGATACTACAGAAAGAAGGTTTCACTGTTCTCGATAAATCTTATATCATTATATGAAATCCTTCTCTTCTGTCTATCGATGATGTTCATCTAGCTGATCGTTAGTCTGCTAAACTGGGACCAACAGATCTTTAATTTGTTTTTTCGTAGAGTCGAATATATTGAACTCTACTTTTTGGTCATTGAACTCTAAAGTTAATGAACCACTAGACACGTGAATTTTTGTTTTTGCGGTCTTTAAGAAGGGTCTACCCAACAGGATAGGTGTTGTTTGGTTACCATCCCCCATTTCAAGGATATAGAAGTCAACAGGAAAAACCATATTTTCTACTTCTACTAGCACATCTTCTTTTACACCCTTCGGGTAAGTAGTAGAACGATCCGCTAGTTGAATCACTACACCGGTTTGATGTAGTGGACCGAGTTGTAGGGATTTATACACCGGGTAAGGGATGACATTTATGGATGCCCCTAAATCCAACAAGGCTTTAGAAAATGTGGTGTCTCCTATTTTGCAAGGTATGGTGAACATGCCTGGGTCGCTACATTTTTCGGGGAGTTTCTTTTGAAAAAGAGCCGAAACATGTTCACTCACCTTAACCTCTTGTTTTCCTTTCACTTTATTTTTTGTTTTGCATAATTCTTTTAAAAATTTAGCAAAACGGGGAACACTTTTCATTGAGTTAAGGAGCGGAATGTTTACCTCACACTTGGAGAAAGTTTCATAGATGTCAGCATCTTTGTCAAGCTTCCTTGTTTCCCTCAATGCCTCAGGGAATGGGGCCACTAGTTCATATGATGGAGATGGAGGAAGTTTTTCCTTTGTGATTCCCTCCTCCGAGTGAGCTTCCTCTTCAGGGTCAACCTCCTCAAGAATTTGGTCTTCCTTTTCTAATTCTTTCAATGCCATCTCACTTCTCAACATGATTGCATTCACATGTTGTCTCGGGTTTTGCTCCGTTTGAGATGGGAGTTTACCCGAGTCCTTTGCTTCAAGTCGGTTTACGGCATTAGAAATTTGGCTAACTTGAGTTTCCAAATTTTTAATGCTTGACTTTGTCTCATGTTGGAATTGTATCATGGTTTGTTGAAAATCTCCCATGTTTTGTTGCATGGTAACCATGTTTGATGTCAAAGTTCGGATCATGTCATCCGTTGACATATTGGATTGAGATGTTTGTTGAGAAGATGAGTTGGTTTGTTGAGGGTTTCCGTATCTCAAATTTGGATGATCCCTCAATCCCGGGTTATAAGAATTTGAGAAAGGATCATACCTTCTTTGTTGATGTCCTTGAAAACCGAGAGCGTTGACTTGCTCTTCTTGGAGTGATGGACACGCATCAGTGGGGTGTCCGGTTGATGTGCAAACTCCACAAGTTTTTACCTCCTGAGTTTTTGGTTTTAAAAGGAGCTCTTTTATCAAAGAAGTCAAGCCGGCAACTTGACTCTCTAGAGTGGTTGTGCTGGATTCCGCCGCAAGAACTCTTCGAGTTGAGGTTTTGCGGCCGAATTGTCGTGAGTTCTCGGCCAACTCCGAGATAAGACTTATAGCTTGTGAAGGAGTTTTATTGACTATCCCACCTCCACAAGCGGCATTCACCATTCTTCTATCATCATCAACAAGACCATCATAGAAGTATAAGATGAGGTCTTGTTCAGTGTATCCATGATAGGGGCAGCTAGCACATAGCTTTTTGAATCTCTCCCAGAATTCATACAAGGATTCATCATCTTTTTGTTCGATGTTGCTTATTTGCTTCTTAAGAGATGATGAAATGGAGGCGGGATAATACCTATCAAGGAAGCATTTCTTCATTTGTGCCCATGTATTGTTACTCCCCGAAGGAAGATAGAAAAGCCAATCCTTCGCGATGTCCTTCAAAGAGAAAGGGAAGGCCCTCAGTTTGATCTGTTCTTCGGTAACACCGTTTGGACACATGCTTGTGCAAACGATGTGGAATTCCGAAAGATGTTTATTCGGGTCTTCTCCTCGTAGGCCATGAAATGATGGCAATAGATGTATGAGCCCAGATTTTAGCTCAAATGTATTACCTTCATCAAGAGTAGGAAAGGTAATACACAATGGTTGTTGATTCAAGTTTGGAGCTGTGAGCTCCCTCAAGGTTCTTGTTTCGAGAGCCATGTGGATTGACTCTTCGGATTCGCTAGAGCTAGCGTTTGAGGATTCCTCCGAGGGTGTGTGCGGAAATAAATTTTTCAACCTCTCGAAGGCTTGTTCTATTTCAGGGTTTGCTTGATAAGTGATTTCGTTCAATGAACGATATTTGACCATATACTTCCCAAAGCTCAGAAATAGAAAAAGTAACTCTTTATATTTTGTTTATATATTTTTTTTTTGAATTGAAATAAAAGAAAAATTGTTGCCTTTCCCCGGCAACGGCGCCAAATTTGACGTGCACTTTGTCGTAGTGTGCACTCAAAATAATAATACAATACAACACTTATACGTAGTATAGCGTAGTAAGGTTCGTATCCGCAGGGAAAGGAATACTTCTCTTTTTATAAACTAATAAATAAAGGGGGGGTTTTGATTGAATGATTTAATTAAAATTGAACACGAAGATGAACGAGTTATGTGGTTTAATTAATGAGAAGAAGACTTGGTTTTGCTTTTATCCACTTAATGAAATGTTCGTCGATCCCGGTTACATCTTTAACTATCTTCCTCTCGAATACTCAATCAAGGAGTATATCCAGTTCATCGAGGGTAGTTATTGATAACGAGAAGCGTTCATTAATAAAACTTACTATCGAGTCAATATAGAACAAGCGCCGTATATTAACTTGATAGTAGCAATAAACTTAAGATGAAAACGACTGAGATTGATAACCTCAACACAAGCGGTTTATTGGTTTAATCAATATAATTAATTCCCCTTAGATTATTAACCATGAGATGCATGCATTAATAATCCAAGTTTATTACCATGAAAGGACCGAATTAATAACAAGCGTATTAATCGACCGATTCTAGTATTAATTAATATATGAAACAAAACTAGTTGATTCTTTTAGTAATGTTCAAAATATTAATATGAAATATGAATAGGAATTAATTAATACTCAAGAAAGAATATTAAAGAAGATGAATCCTACTATAGTTAATATCAAGATTTTAACTAATTGTCATCTTAGTAACACTCCCCAATATTAACGTAGAGGAAGAAATAATTATTACTATAACTAATGTCAAGATGTTAACTAATTGTCATCTTAGTAACACTCCCCAACATTGATATAGAAATAGTATTTAAAGGAAGAATTAATATTCAAGGAAGAAGATTAAAGAGAATAACTCACAACTTACAAATTCATTAAGCTTCAAAGTAGCAAAACCAAGATGGAAGAGTTTAGCTCCTCATTTGGAGACTAAACATGATGAAAAATATAAAGAAAGAATTTGTCTAAACTGAGCTAAGAAGTATATGTGAATTGGTATCCCATTGTGAAGGAAAGGGTGTGTATTTATAGGCTTTTTGGGAGTGCAGCTCGGGTACTCGATCGAGTATATAAAAATACTCGGTCGAGTATGTGTAGAAATGCAAATTCGAGGTATACTCGATCGATTTCAGGTTTAAAATTAAAGGCATACTCGATCGAGTATGTATATATACTCGATCGAGTATGAGTAGAAACTTGAATTTCGACCCATACTCGACCGAATTCAGAGTATAATTTATAGTCATACCCGATCGAGTATGTCGGTGTACTCGATCGAGTATCGACACTCGATCGTGGTCAAAATCTTCCCTGCATGTTCCTTTGTTTTCAGATCCGATCCGATTTGAAATCTCAACAAGATACTCGATCGAGTATATGCTATACTCGATCGAGTATAGGTCAAAAATCAGGATTTTGCCTTCTTTTTGTCTTGTACTCTTGCACCTTCCTTCACCAATGATCATTGGATTGATCTTGGACCTGTTTAAACTCAGAATGGACCTAATCTTAACATATTACAACTATTTTACAAACATGACTATTACACCAAAAGTGTGTAATTTCCGAAATATTAAACAATTAAAACTAGCTAAAAACATAAACATACACACGGAAATTACAAGTGTATCGGTGATTTCAATTATCGAAAATATCGACAGAAGGGCCATATATGAATAAATTCCACTTTTGGTCCTACGAGTTTTATGTCAATTCCACATTTAGTCCACGTCTTTCACTTTGTCCAGTTTTGGTACATGACTATTGTGTTTTCGTCCACATATAGTCCTTTCGGCCATGTTTCCGGTAGTTAAAATCGCCGGAGAAGGACCACAAATGGTCAAACAAACATTAGTCAAGTACCAAAAGTGGACAGAGTGAAAGATGTGGACTAAATGTGGAATTGACATAAACTTGTAGAACCAAAAGTGGAATGAATTCATTGTAGAATTGATGCAATACTTCTAGAACCAAATGTGATATTATCTAAAAATGACAAGAATTTCCAAATAATAACAAGAATATGAAAACAAGACTAACTTAGATGTTTAGTACAACTTTATATATACATCGTATAACTATTATGCCCTAGCTCCTTCATGAGCCTTCACCCCCATCTCTCCTATTTGGATCTCACAATTTATATTAAGCTCGACCTTATCAATGGCCCCACCTTCCCTATCATCTTCAATTGTGATCTCACTCTCCCCCTCACGTAGAGCAACACATGTTTCCTTCCCACTATCTCCCTCTATGATTTGAATATTACAACATGAATTATCAGCCAACTGATCACCCACTTGAACTATACCCCCTTGTTTCTTCTTCATAGCCTCCCTCTGCTGAGCAACTATGATTGCCTCTCGGTGCTGAGCAACTACCATGTCCAACAATCTGTAGAACTCATTCACCTTTTCGTCAAACTCAGCTAAGTTGACTTTCTTAGGGTCTTCCATGCAAAGCCTAATGACTTCCTCAAAAGCTTCTTCTAAATTCTTAATAAGTTGTGACTTCATCCTATTTGCTCTAATTTCCCTCCCCTTGGTCCAATAGTTTTCTACCATGGAAATAAAAGCCACTGCCACTGGATACCAATGAGAAACTCGACGATATTGGGGTTCCCCAACCAATGTCAGCACAAAAACTTCAACACAACTCAAAGTGAACATAGAAAACCAAGCTCCGATCTCGAACAATAAGTTGACTGAAGGCCATGCATTTTTTCTTCTATATTCCATATGACCTAGACGTATCCAATATACTAACCCTAGCACATTCACTACTATGTGGAAGGCAACTAGGGTTTTGGAGACGCGTGGAATATCCCATGTGTTTAGCACAACGCTTCCAAACCACATCAACATCCAAAACCCTAAAATTAATCCATGGCTACTAATGAGTTTTCTTTTGAATAGTATAACTACTATCACTATGATGATGGAGATGCCTCCGAAAACTGGGATAGTTATAGCAAGGGTTGTTATATTACCTGCAAGTCAACATAAAAAATGAACATATATAAACATTTCACATTAATTAGTCCTTTGATCTACAATCTTATGCAACTTTGACCCAAAGATACCCATTCAAAATACCTGAACTAGTACCATTTGACAGAGAAGAAGGAGAAGGAGCTGGAGCTTTCGGCGATTCTTTCTGCGCCATAATGCATGTGGAGACTAAGAGGAGTAAATACAAAGATGTTATGAAGATATGAGTTTGGAGATTCATGGATCGATTCTTTCACGTAAGTACGTAACGTTTGAAAATACTAATAATAATAATAATATTGTACTTAATTCTATGACAACTAGCTAGCTCTTCTCAACCATGCTCGGAAGTAACCAAAATAAAAGGCTGGACTTTGGTTTAGAATTGAACTTAATAGACTCTGCAGATTTGTGTAAGAAGACAGATTGATCGAGAAGGCAGGAGACTTGGGTTCTTCTTCTATCAGAATTAGAATTTACAGAAGAGGTGATCAAAAAATAAGTAAACAGATCTCTATTAAGTCGATCGAGTGGTGGGTGGAGCGCTTGTGATAATTAGCCATGGACATGACTAAGAGTAACGCATCCTATTGATTGGAACCTAGCAAATTAGGTAGAGATCAGAGTTAGCCCCATCAAAAATTGGATAGATGCTACGAAGTATGTGTGGTGCTAGTTAAAACAACACGTGATGTGTATGGACGAATGTGTAGGATTGTGCTGTATTTATTTTTTTATTTTAACTTTATATGCTAAGCTGATGTATATTTTCGATGTTTGTTACAATGCAGTTCTTAAATGTTTTTACCATCATTTACTTTTAAAGTTAATGCTGATAAACTTGATTAACCAATGACTTTGATTAATACCACGTTCATCGTTAAATAATGAACATGTTGAATTTTACGCTATTCACGTTCTCTACGACTATATTTTATTTATTAATTAATTTATTCAAAAATTTAATCTTTCAAAAATACGTTAAGGGTTTGTTTGGTAACAGCTGCAACAGCCGGAATGGCTGAAAAGCCTGAGAAGACTGAATTTATTGAAGTGAAAGTGTTTGATAATGTGTGCGTTGAAATGGATTATTGAATGTAGAATTACCAAAACGGGTATTAGTTTATTTGGAAAAAAAATTGTTGTGCCGTTAATCCAAATTTATTATTCAGTTAATTTAGATTTATTGCACAGTTTAAAAAAGGCGTGTTCCTGAAGTTGTCGTTAAGTTAATGCATCGGTTTAACAGCCTCCCGCTAATTAGGGCTCTACCAAAATTATTTTAGTCATTAAACATATTGGAGTTTAAACTTATAATGAATATAACACAAATATTTTAGCCCTTATATGTATTGTATTCTGATATTTAGAGCTCTTAGAGCTAATTATTAGTTCGATAGAAGAGCTACTTTGGCAAAGTTTTGAATTCAAAGTTCGACGGAAGGTAAAAGTAGAGCAGGGAAAGAAGATGGGCATCCTCACTCCCTGTAGAAGAAGGATAGAGTAGTAATTTTATCCAACTAACAGTAAAATAATACTCCCCCCGTCCCTAAATAAACTTCCATTTCGCTTTTCGGGGGTCAACATAAATCATACTTAAACTCTTACTTTATGTATCAAAATTTTATAAAAAGTGAATTGTTTTTTGCAGGCTTTGTAGCCGGTTTGATGTAGTTTCTGAATATGTAAATTTTATTTTCTAAAAATAATCCGAGTTTTCACAGGGATCATTTAACTTTATCGCTGGTCAAACTTCGTAACCCGCAATTGGAAGTTTAATATGGGACGGAGGTAGTAACTTTCAGCGGAAAAAGTAGTCTTGACTCTTGAGGTTGTTTTTTGGGCTGAAAATAAAAATCAGCCATAACAGCCAATTTAAAGCCCGTTTGGTAGCACGAAAATCGGCTGTTTTGGCTGGTCCTACTGAAATTTATGAAGTTCTGGTTGAAGTGGCTGCATTGGCTGATTCTGCTGATTTAAGAAAAAAATATTTTTAAAATATATTCTATTAACAAAATAAAGAAAAAGTTATATGTAAAAATAGCTAAAATGGTCATCTACAGTAACTTCAGCCAATACAGCCAGAAAAGTAACTCCAGCCTTACTTTTTCTGCTTATTACACAATTCAGCGTGCGAAAACAAAAACAATGTTGCCAAACAGCCTCTTAATGGATGTTTGGCTATTTTTTTTCATTTTCAGGCTTTTCAGCCATTTTGTGGTCCTCCAAACGACCTCTAAATCTAAGTCACTTTAACTTAAAAATATGATATTTCTTAACTTTTAACTAATAGCGGATTAAATATATATTGATGATCAAAGTAGGGATGACAACGGGGCGGATCGGGAACGGTTTTGTCTATAACCGTGCCCGCCCCGTAAGCGCCCCATTACCCAACGGATAATTTTTACCCAAACCATAACCGCCCCAACGGATAACGGGTATAACTGCGGGTAACCGCGGGTAAACGCTTTATTAAATGAGTCAATGATATTTTAAAAGGTGAAGTAGGTGAAGAGCGGTGAAGAGAAAAGTGAGAGTAGGGATTGATAGTATATTAAACGGGTATTAATTTGAATTCACCCCAATCTATTCTTGTGGACACTATTGCTAGTTCGAATTATTTTTATAGACACTCATAGTAGGGATTATTATCGTAAAAACCCTAAGAGTAGGAATTATTCTTATGAATTTTGCCTAAAAGTGAAAGGAGGAAGTTATTTTTGTGAAAGTCGTAAATCTTAAACTTTTATGAAAGCATTTTCAACAAGAAAAATATCCTAAAATTGGAGTAAAAACATTGTTAAATTTTAATATAGGAATACTGTGTTTCCCCTAGTTGTGGAGAAACCCCAGTAAGAAACTCGATCTAATTTAGTGTCATCCTGAAATTAATTACATTTTTGTATTTGGGCATTACCTAATATGGAGTATTATATTTAATGCCATAATTGAAAGTTTATTTTCAGGAATGATGGTAAGTACTCATATTTAGGGAGTAAAAAAGTATTGTTCCCATGGAAATTTTGATTGTTTTTACTCCTATTTAGGAAATTTGTTTCATAACAAGGAATAATTGCATACTATTTTCATACTATATGTATATAATTTCATATAATATGTAGTAATATATTATTGGTCAAAGTTTGACTCATTAGCCAAAAATTCTAATATGATAAAATTTGAAGTGACGGAGGGAATAATATTTTAATAGTTAAACGATTAATCAAGATGTAATCTTTCTCGCGCTTCAAATATACTACGTACTATGTATGTGATAGTATAAGGTATAAACATGAGTATCGTCTTCACTGGGACAACAAAAGGAATTAAGTGCTATATTATTTTTAAAGATTTTGATTTGAAGATTAAAACAATGGCTGTTCGAGATTGGTTTGAATATAAATTGCAGCTAAAATTAAATCTTGTTGTTTCACGCGGGAGCACTATATGAAAATAACAGGCAGTGGCGGGATTGGTATATGAGTTTGGATGTTGAACTTTTCTTTAATTACCATCTGAATGACAAACCGTTGAAGAATAATAGTGTGGGTGTTTGGAAAATGGGTTTTCCGCCAAAAAATGGCAATTTGATCTTTTTTAGCATTTTCAATAAATGAAAATGTTATTTGGTGAATAGCTGAATGACATTTTCTACTAATTTTTATGGTCAAATGACGTGCACTTTGTCGTGTGTGCACTCAAAATAATTTCAATACTAACACTTATACGTAGTATAGGTGAAGTAGAGTTTGTATCCACAGGGAAAGGAATAATTTATCTTTTTAACGAAAGGAGTAAATAAAGGGGGGTTTTGGGTTGAATGATTTAATTAAATTAAACACGAAGATGAACGAGTTATATGTGATTTAATTCAAAGATAAAAAGGACTTGGCATTGCTACTTTCCACTTGTTGATATATTTCAGTCGATCATTGTTATATCTATAACTTATCTCCTCTCGAATACTCAATCGAGGAGTATATCCAATTCATCGAGGAAAGTTATTAACAACGACCGTTCATTAATAACCCTTACTATTAGTCAAGTATAGAACAACGCCATATACCTACTTGATAGTAGCATTTAATCTCTTAACTCCTTGATGAAATCAATTGAGATTGATAACCTCAACACAACGGTTTCGGTTTAACCAACAAAATTAATCCCTCTTAAGTTTACTAACCACGACCGTGCATTAATAAACCGAAGTTACTTACTTGTGAAACCATCAACGATTAACCATCGGTTCGTTGATCGTTTCTAGTAATAATTAATATTTGAAACAAAACTAGTTGATCCTTTAAGTAATGTTCAAAAATATTAATATGAAATATGAATAGGAATTAATTAATACTCAAGGAAGAATATTAAGGAAAATGAATCCTACTATAGTTAATATCAAGATGTTAACTAATTGTCATCTTAGTAACACTCCCCAATATTAACATAGAGGAAGGAATAGTTATTACTAAGACCAATGTCAAGATGTTAACTAATTGTCATCTTAGCAACACTCCCCAACATTGATATAGAAATAGTATTTAAGAAAAGCATTAATATTCAAGGAAAGAAGTTAAGAAAATAACTCACAACTTTAATAATCAACAAGCTTCAAGAGCAACACCAAGAAATGGAAGTTTAGCTCCTCAATTGGAGACTAAACATGCTAAAAGAAATATAAAGAAATGCTATTCTAAACTGAGCTTAAGAGTATATAGGAATTGGTGATTTATTGTGGAGGAAAAGTGGTGTATTTATAGGCTTTTTAGGCCTGCAGGGTCGTGTACCCGATCGGGTTTTCAGCTCAACCGATCGGGTAAGGGTTATTTCCTCGAAACTGAAAATCTGGGGTCATACCCGATCGGGTATGTCGGCCACCCGATCGGGTATGGATACGCGATTGAGTTAAAAAATCCTCCTGCATGTTGCCTTGTTCCCGGGTTGATTCGATTTGACTTTTCAGCAACTTACCCGATCGAGTATAGAGCATACTCGACCGGGTATGCTACCAAAAACCAGAATCTTCATCTTTTCTTGAAATCTTTGCACCTTCCTTCCATTTGTGATGTTCACCAATGGTCCCTAGAGTGATCTTGGACCTGTTTGAGCTCAGAACCAACCTAATCTAAACAATTTACAAACATTTTACAAACTAAACTATTACACCAAAAGTGTGTAATTTCTAGAGTAACAATCACTCAAAACAAATCAAAAACACAATTATAAACACGGAAATAACATGAATGTCAACTCCCCCACACTTAGTTCCTTTACTCGACCTCGAGTAAAACCAAATGTTTATACAATGTTTATCACAAGATCATGAGTTCATAGAGAGGAAGAAATAAGAAACTAAAACCACCAAGTATAGTGAATGAAGTTACAAAACAACATTTCCTTGGGTTTAACGGTCTTTTATGCTTCCTATTTCTTCTTTTTCTCATCTTCTCTCCTTCTTCTTCTTCTTCTTCTTCTTCTTCTTCTTCTTCAAGAGATGGTGTCCTGCAAAATAGAACAAATTTT